CAGGGGGCTGCCTGCCTGGGCACTGGGGATGTGGAGGGTGGAGAGAGGGGCTGTACTGGGCACCCAACCTGTCAGAGGGGCTGTGCCCTTCTGGGTGGGCACAGTTCTGTGACAGGTGGGCAGGGAAGGTGCCTCCCCATGGGCTGAGCAGGGCTGCCCTGTCCCTGTCCCCTCACAGGTGGCAGTGCTCTACATGTCCACCCGCCTCATCGTCAACCTGTCCCAGACCTACATCGCCATGTACTTGACCAACTCACTGATGCTCTCCAAGGTGGGCACAGGGCAGGTCTGGGGGCGCTTGGGCAGGGTCCTGGTGCCCAGAGATCATCTCCTCCCTGTCCCTTGCAGAAATACATCGCCACCATCCCCCTGGTCATGTATGTCAGCGGGTTCCTCTCCTCCTTCCTCATGAAGCCTGTGAACAAGTGGATCGGTCGGAATGTGAGTCTGGGGGCACTGGAGAGGTTGGAGTTAGACCCCAGCAGGGGCCAGATCCTGGCTGTGGGCAGAGCACCCAGCACCTCTGAGCTGGAGAGCAGGGACCCCTCATGTACCCTCTGCCAGCACCCCCCCACTGCACTGTGGGTCCCGTTGGGATGGGGGGTGGTGGGCAGGTGTGGGGATGAGGGCCTGTCCTGCACATCCTGAGGCTGGGGAAGGCGGTGCTGGTCCACAGCCACCCTGTGCTGTGCAGCCCTGACCAGGCTGGAGAGCCCTGAGGTACCTGAGATGGGCAGAGGGGGGTCTGGGTGCACCGCCCCAGGTGGGCACAGGGGCTGCAGTGCCAGCAGGAGGGAGCTGCCCCCCCACTGTGTCCCCTTCATGCTGTTGGGTGCCAGTGGAGTGTCCCCTGAACTCAGGGACACTCTGCCCACAGCTCTCCCCAGGGCTCAGCTCTCCAGCTGCAGAACAGCCCAGACCATGGCAAGGGAGTGCTCTTGGGGGCTCCTTGTTTAAATCCAGCTGGGACAGAGCCAGGGCTGTCCCTCGTGGGTCCTGGGTACTGCTGGCCCCTGTGCCCTCTCTGCTTGCCCGTGGTGGCAAGCTGGTGTCTGAACTCCCCCTTGTCCCTCTGCCCCTCTCTGTCCCAGCTGACCTACTTCGTGGGCATCCTGGTGGTCCTGGCCTTCGCCTCCTGGGTGGCCCTGGCCACGCCGATGGGAGCTGAGGTCTACGGAGCGGCCGTGCTGCTGGGGGCTGGCTCTGCCACCATCCTGGTCACCTCCCTGTCCATGACAGCGGATCTCATCGGCACCAACACGGTAGGGCCGCTCCTGCGGGGGATGGACCGGGGATGGCAGCAGTGAGCCTGTGCCGGGCTGTGCTGCAGTGTGGGCTCTGCCCATGAGAGGGCACAAGGCTCCAGGGTTGTGTGGCACAGCTCAGCTCAGCACGGCACCCGCTGAGGCTCCCTCTCCTCCTGCAGCACAGCAGCGCATTTGTCTATGGTGCCATGAGCTTCACGGACAAGATGGCCAATGGCCTGGCTGTGATGTTGATCCAGAACCTGCACCCCTGCCCGTGAGTGTCTCTGTGGGGCAGGGACACCCCCCCCATTGCCCCCATTGCAAATATCCCAGGGTTGGAGCAACAGGCACGGGTGGGAAACAGCTCTGATTTTTAGAGTCACAGGATGGTTTGGCTTGGAAGAGATCTAAGAGCTCATCTTGTTCCACCCCCTGCCATGGGCAGGGACACCTTCCACTAGCCCAGGT